ATAAAACTTCATTAAAAATAATAATTTAAAAAAAAAATCCAAAAGAGATTTGTTTTGTCTTATATAAGCATCTAGGCGTATATATGTATATATATTCATATGTATACATAAGGAAAAATTAAAAAAAAAAAAAAAAAAAAAAGCGAGAGAATGACATAGAAGCCCAAAGTATAAAGTGTAAGAAAAGAGAGTGCCTATCTTTGCGGATTTATTAAGAAAAAAACGCAAGAAAAAAAAAGGAAACATATCTGAATTCTTTTATATTCGTTTCAAACGGAAGCCTTAAGGATTTTAATACGAATAAAAAATTTTCACAGAAATTAAAAAAAAAAAAAAATTAAATACACGGATTCCACATCGAGTTATGGAATGGTTGTAACGGATTTTTACCATTATTCCTGATTATTATTCTTGATTATTATTATTATTATTATTATTATTATTATTATTATTATTATTATTATTATTTCTCTCGGTGGATATTATTGCAAAGAGTCCTTTTTGTTTGTGTTTTTGTGGTGTTGACTACAGAAAAAGGAAAAAGAAAAGAAGAGATCGTTATCATCGTCTGGATTTGAGAATTGTGTAATCGCTCGAAAAAGACATTAATAATAATAATAATAATAATGATGATGATGATGAGGAGAAGGATGATAACACCAAACAACAACAAAAACTAAAGATAATCATCATGATAATTTGACAAGAAAGTGGTTCCTTAAAATTAAAAAAAAAAGAAAGAAAAAGACTTCTGACAAAAGTTATATAACAAGAAGTAAAATACTAAACAAACAGTTTAAAAATATCCACGTTAAAGGCGGGAAAGTATTTTCTTAAGAAAAACAGCAAACAAACTTGTATGTAGAAACTATTAAGATCATTTCTTTTAATTTAAATTCTCTGGCGGAAATATATACTTATTTATTCAAAATATTAGTACGCATTTGAATGTAAAAAAAAAAAAAAAAAAAACACGTGTCTCTTTGTATATCGTGACAAATTCTATACAGATATATATCTGTACCGATCAATAATCCTCGTATATATGCATATAAACATATATATTTCTATATATATTTATATATGTATCTATATATATACAAGTTTTACGCGTAGTCAAAAATAAAATGTGTAAAGAAAACTAAGTAAATATATAAGATCGTATTATTTGCAACTCAGTCATCTGAATTTTTAGAGGAATTGAATTCAACGTCAAAAAGTGGAAAAACTGAAAAAAAAAACAACAAAAAAACAACAATACACGCATACACACACACACATCGGATTACGTACAAAGAAAATTACGCACGCAATTGCATACGCCACGCGAAGGTATTTGAGTGCAATTATATCCGAAGACAGATACATGTGATATTTTGATATACGGCTCGACAGATGTGTCGGATAAAGATAAAACTTACCACCTGAACTAACCACGTGATTACAGGTTGACATTATCGGAGGCTATACGCGTGTCGACATTAATATTGGTGATATTTAAACGTAAGACCTCTACTTAAATAAATATATATATATATATATTAGCCAGGTGTGTATTCACATACATACACAGAAAATACTCATACACTCACTAATAATTTATTTATAAACGTCTAAACTGTGATGGTAGAAAGTTTATTGTCAGTCTGTTTTTAAGGATTTTTCGATTAGATGGAGGTAATTATTGCGAGTAATTTAATAATAATCTAAATTGCCGAGGACGTCTGTCTGTCTGTCTATCTATCTATCTATCTATCTTAGCTGCTATTCTTAATCAATATCGAATTTTCTCTTTTTCTTTCTTTTTCTTCCACACCCTCTCTCTCTCTCTCTCTCTCTCTCTCTTTATCTCTCGCTTCAGGCACCATTATACATGCTCCCTCTTGCTGTTACTACTTTCAACCTGTTTGAATCTATTTTAATGACACTTGTTAACTGCAACGGTCCGTCCCAGCAGATGGCTATGTAGATACAGCGCAGGGGACTAATGTTTTTGGTTACACGTCACCAAGGCTTCTCCACGCTTCTCGCGTACGCCTTTCTGGTTAGCTGTTGGTCATCTTTCAGTGTGCAGTTACCGTTGCCCGAAGGGAAAAAGAACAGCTACCGCCGACAACCGGTGGACAGCGCCCACTTAGACTTCCATGGCGCTAAAACCACAAAATTACCACTGTTTCAATGGCCTGGACACCTAAGAGCCAGCCTTAATGTAACAGGGCTGTCACCCATCATAGCTAAAAGAGCCCCGAATCCAAATCAGCGTTTTCACAACAAAGCTGTTAATATATATCAACATACCAAAAATAATAGCGACTATGCTAATCGTGATACGGCGAAAAACTTTGAAGATCGTCCGTCCCGAAGAGAGGAGGCGATATTAAGACAGAATTATAAAGGCCGTCGCCGTTACGAGGTGGCGAAAATTAAAAGTACTGTTTCCATTAGTAGTGATAAGAACTATAGTAACAATTATACAAATGATAATACTTATCTAAACAGACCTGGCCCGAATCGGGTCGTCGGTGGGGCTAACGCTACAAAAGCCTCGAATGCCGTTAACTCTGGTCGTCTTAAAACTGTTGCTTATGTTCGAGGTGTCAATGGCGAAATATTACAAGATTCAACGCTAATCGACAAAAATGGACAACAAAAGTCGCGACAAGGTTTAACAACCAACGGAAGTTTATATGCGTCCCATATCCAGAACGGGAGTGAAGCGTACGCAGATGGATCCGAAGGACGTAGTCGTGGACGTCATAGGACAACGTTCATAAAAACGGAGACGGATAAAATCGTGGATGACTCTGAGAAGATAAAAAGTGAGAAAAACAGTCAGACGGTTGGGAAATTAAGCAGTAATAAGCGTCGTAAGCAAGAACGGAAGGAACACCTTACGAAACATGCGCACAGAACCCGTGAAAACATCGGGTCCAAATCTGGTTCCTCATCGGTAGACCGTTATTTGGAAGGGTCACTTCGTTCCGATGGATTTTTCAGAAGTGGAAAAATGACAAATTCAAGAAGACTCGGTGTGAAAGCGTACCCTACAGTCTGGTACCCGTATCGCATTGCGCATGATTCTTTCCGGCCATTGCCAGATGCTGGAACCCCGATATTACAATCACCATCATTTTCCTCTTCGTCATCGTTGTCAGTCTCGCAATCATCGTCACAATTAATACCATCTCGATCAGCATCGTCGATTCTATCAATACCATCATCATCGTCATTATTGTCATCATCGTCATCATCAGTTGTTTCTGCTTGGTCAGCCGCAGCAAAAGCGAGTCTGTTATCAACAGCAGCATCACAGTCATCGACATCGCGTTCTTTATCATCATCACCATCTGCAGCATCTTCATCATCATTATTTCCAGCGTCTTCATTGGCGTCACTGTCTCCTAAAACGGCGTCGATTTTGGACCCCGCTACGGGCAACGTAACCTTTTCTCTTCCGTCGATTGGTGCATCGCAATTGCAAAGCAGATCAATCCCGACGCTCTCACCCTCAACAACACACCAAAACACTGCAAAAATAACAGCAGACAATTTTACATCAATAACGCCAGCATCAAATTCAACCGATGAACGAGCTGCAAATCAAACCCGACAACCTCAAAATGATAAGCAAGATCTACTGCAAGAAGATGGTCAAGCGCGAAGTGACCCTTACCGGCAACAACTTCTTCAAATGCAGAATCTACAATTGCAGTTGCAAAAACAATACCAACGCTACCGAAAACGTCAACAGAAGAGGCAACAATACCGTCTCCATCACCACCACCACCACCGCAAACACCAACGTCGCTTGGGTCACCAACGGCATCGACGTGATGTCCGTAATGCCGGCGGTCGCAAATCTCTTCGGCGTAAGCGTAACGCCCGAAAGGTGAATCTCAACAGACGACGACGTCATCATCGAAGGCGAAGACGACGTCGGACGGCTGGAGGACGCCGAAAGTGGGACCCACGTTTGGCACAGGCTGAGGCTGACCGTCGTTGGCAAGCGGCTACTATAACGTCGACAGCATCAACAGTGATTGAGGTGAAAGCTAAACGCAATAATGCGAATTTAATCAACTCTAGTTTTTACGGGAAGAGCAATAAAAAGGGTACTCTCTTGAGCGTAGAGCGAAACGACCTCGCATACAACGGCGACGAATGGAAGAGTCACGTTGGAGACGTGAAGACGCGTGGTGTTGGCGATGTGAAGAGAAACAATGCTAGCGATGTCCGCGCCGTCATGAATTTGACGGCGACTGTTAGAAGGTCATTGAGTCACAAAGGTGTTTCGAAGGGTGACATAACACGAAAACACACGGTCGACAATGTCGTGATGAACGATACCGGATTGACGTTACGTAACGGTTTTGGCATTGGTGCCTTCATGGACAACGGGTCCGAAAAAGACAGCAATTATTATGAAGATAATATGATGGACGAACTAAATTATGATTTCAATGTAGTAGAGATGCCTTCTGAATATATGTCTTCTTCTTTATCCTCATCTTCGAAATCCCCTTTGTCAGATTCCCTTTCTAAGTTTCCCAATACTTCTTCTTCTTCTTCTTCTTCTTCTTCTTCTTCTTCTTCGTCGTCGTCGTCGTCGTCTGCTTTGTCATCGCTATCGGCCGTAGCTGATGTCCTGCGCCACCAACGAAAATTGTCGACTAATGCCACTCGGAAAATGCCTCAAGCCCTTATAATCGGGGTGAAAAAGGGAGGCACCCGAGCCGTATTGGAATTCTTACGCTTACACCCCGATGTCCGAGCCCCGGGTCCGGAACCACACTTCTTTGATAGGCATTATTACATGGGACTAGAATGGTACAGGTATGTAGCTATTTATTTATCTAATATTTTCTTATCTGTGTTTCTGATAGATATCGATCTGTCATCATAGCTGCGTGTGAACGGAGACAATAATTAAAGACGATGTATATGACTGTGAAGCTGACAAGAGTTTAATCGATATTGGCACAAAAAAAAAAAAAAAAAAAAAAACAGAAAAATAAACGAGATTCTTACTGAAGTTTCTTTAAAGCTTGACTCCAACTCAGCTGAAAAAGACGACTCCAGCTTTCTCTACACTCTGACCAGTCGGATGTTATGCTGGGTCTTGTTAATAGCATGTCACAATGAATGAAAGAAAACAGAACTCAGTTACTCTTTGGATGATTCTAAAGAAGTCATGGAAATCTTCCATTTATTAATCCGAAACATTTTTTTATTAATTTAAACGTTATTTTTGGTAGATGCTCATATTTCAGTAGATGCTCCGTTTATATACTGAAAAGTAGTTTTTATTTAATTTCGTCTGCCGGTCTGAATACTTGAGAATTCTTATTAAAGCAGAGAGCATATCTTTTTCTTTTAATAAGATTTCTGGAATATTCAGGTTTGTCGACGAAAATAAATGAAATATATATATTAAACACCATTTTATATATATATATATATATATATATATATATATATATATATATATATATATATATATATATATGGTTCTCATTAGTATGGTTCTCATATATATATATATATATATGAAAATAAACAGGTATATGTAATGTATGATGACGTCTGGTGGCAACAGGGAAGCCCCCAGTAGGGATCGAACCCATTACACCGAGTCAGTGGAAATAGCTTACTAGCTGTTGTTCTACGGCATACTCATACTCATCTCGGTACTGCTGTAATACTTTTTCGTGCATCGGTATACACACACACATATATATGTGTGTGCGTGTGTGTGTGGGTTTTGTATATGGGGATGCAAACGTGTATATACATTCCTATATCGCAACTGACCTGTGGATATAGGTGTTCAAAGTTGTACATGATTTATCTTTCTGTTTAAGCATCTATCTATCTATCTATCTATCTATCTATCTATCTGGGCCTGTTTATATCTATCTATCTATCTATCTATCTATCTATCTCTGAGCCTGTTTATATTTATCTATCTATTTATCTATCTCTGAGTCTGTTTATAGCTATCTATCTATCTATCTATCTATCTATCTATCTATCTATCTATCTATCTATCTATCTCTGAGCCTGTTTATATCTATCTATCTATCTATCTATCTATCTATCTATCTGGCTAGCTCGCAATCTAACTATATAGATATAATATTTCAGAAACATTTTATATATAAAACATTTTCTAAAGAAAAGTATAATATAATCTGGCGTTCTCAGAATTATTTTATTTGAAAAGAAAAAGAAAGAACTCTTCATTATTACACCGAAACATTTTGTACATTCACTAATTTCACGCAGTTTTGTAATTTTCGCGCGAAACTTTAGACCAAAATTTAACACTGAAATGTTTAAAGTTTGCGTAATTTGCATTTTGGGCAAAAATGATTCCAACGACGCCGAGTTACCGGTGAAACGTATGAAGAAAATTGTTAGTAATTGTTTTAGATCTTGTCGATCCTTTCGATCTCAGTCAATTTTACAGACAAACACACATATGGATACATGTGTTCGTGTGTCTGAAAATATATTTGATTGTTTTGTTTATTTTCAGTACAAGAGAAAACAGGGCGTCTACACAAACATGGGTAACCACAAAATAACGTTAAGAATAGTTGGAAATAATGTTTTATTCTTCGATATATATATATATATATATATATATATATATATATATGGCGAGCGAGCGAGCGAGCGAGAGAGAGACAGAGGATAGATAGAATGATTGAGAGAATGAGATACACATTCCGAGAGAATAGATACTTTGTTCATTTTTAATAACAATATCGTCTTTTATACGTGGAAAGATTGATGAGATGTGTACAAAAAAGGTTTCTGTTTTCTTCATTGAAAAAGAAGTTTTCTCTTGTATATTCTGTTTCTAGTTTTCACAAACAGAGCGTTGGTAACTTTCGCGTAGAATATTGAGAAGAAATCATAGAATTAACGGAATAGCTATTGATAGGGAAAATAAGAACTGCTAAACTGCTATTTACCAATTTTAGATTTTGTCAAATTTTATCATAAAGGCGGCATCAAATTCTCTAAAGTTAAAGAAAAACATCGATTTGTTTCTAAAATATTTCGAAATTCAAGATAAACAGAATGGCTGAAATACATTCACACAATTTCTGATATTAACCATTTTTTCTCATATACCTTAAAATTATATTTTTTAAAAAATAAAAAAAAACATGAAAACTACAGACACAAGTTCATTTTCTCCATCAAGACATTCATTTCTGTAGTTCACTGCTACCAGCAAGCAGAAAATTATTTTTCTCCTGATGATGACCATGTTGGCCGAAACTAGTCGAGGAATAAATAATAATAAAAACGAAATAATATTAATATACAACCCAGTGTGTCTGAAGATTTTAATTTTTTAATATTTTTTATTGTTCAATATATATATATATATATATATATATATATATATATATATATATATATATATATATATATATATATCCTGATAAAATGAAGTACAAATAGAGTATAAAACATATTTATGGAGTGTTAACAATGTTTTTGATTTAATGTCCTAAAATATATATATATATATATATATATATATATATATATATATATATATATATATGTGTGTGTGTGTGCGTGCGTGTGTTTGTGTTTCTGTGTCTGTGTGTCTGTATTTATGTGACTGTGTCTGTGTGTCTGTGTGTGTGTCTTTATTTGGCATATTCGTGGTGGATATTTCATTTCGGTATCGTCATGCCTTCAAGTCGGATCAAATTCGATATATATTCCATATATACACTTGAAATAATAAAGGTATTTTTATATATCAAATATTTTATAAAGTGTCAAATGGAAAAAAAAAGAAGAAAGTGCACCCTGTCTTTTCACGACATAAGCGAACACACCTCTCCAAAAATGATTATTTTGTGAATCGTCAGATATACTTGGGAAATGTATTGGTGTTGTTCTCTGTTGTTTTATCTGCAGAGTAAAATTCGGGGTTTTTCTACTTTTAGACTGGTTTCCGTTGAAGACTCAAGAGCCCAGTTTACATTGTTATTTAACCTATAGCTGAAGTGGGATAAGAGAACAGATTCGGGCCTTGTCTAAGTGTATGAAGTGTGAAAGTGAACGCAATAAGATTAGCAAGATTAGAATTTGAACTCGGTTCGCCGATTCGTCTTTCCGTGCCAATATCTTTTACACTAGCCTTACATACACTTTTGAAGAATATGAAATATTTAAAAAAGAGATATTTTCTTAACGTCAGGGTTAAGCTCAGAGAATTTAAGGTATTAAATGTCTACCTCGAAGAAAGAAAACGATAGAATATGTCATTCATCCTGTTCATCTATAGAGAGAATTATAAAAAAATGAAAACGAAGAAAGATTTAGAATCCAGATATTTGCATAAATTATATATATATATATATATATATATATATATATATGTGTGTGTGTGTGTGTGTGTGTGTGTGTGTGTGTGTGTGTGTGTGTGTTAAAGAGAAAAGAGAAGCCGCAAACGTTTTTGGTTACAATGTGGAATTTTTTAATATGTATTTTACTTTATTTTCCGAAATTTTGCTACACGTGTTTCGGATCTTGTGACATTCATCAGGCGAAGAATGGTTATTTCCACATATTATTTAAAGGAATTCATTGTTCCTTATGTTTTCTTATATTTAACCATTGTCTTTTGTGTGTGGTAGTAATCCAAATTCTTCTTGGATTGGTGAAAAAATATTCCTTTGCTTAAGGGGTAATAATACAATTAGGACTCATTAGAGAAAGGGTAAAGAATGAGGTCTTTGATCTTATCGTTTTTTTTATATCCTCTCTATCATTTTAGACTTTTCTCCGTTTTCTTGTATTGTATTTCTCCCTAAAATTACTCCCTATTGCCCGGCTAGTGTCGTTTTCTGAGTACACCTGCCTGCTAGGGCGGCTAGATATTTGTATTTCTTCAGCACCCACTGAGCGAACCTGTAGTTTATACAACGACTATACTGAACCTACCTTAGTTACAGATTCTGCGAGAAAGCACATAAATTACAGAGTGTCCCCCCAAAATTTAACATCATTTCACAGGCCAATAATTTCTGAAATTCTTGTTGAAATTACCTCAAATTTTCAGAGAATGTATAGAAAGAGATCAAGATTTTATATTTAATGGAAGAGGATATTACGTGCTTATCTCAATGAGAATCTGCCAGAGAAATGGAGTGGTGGAGATGAAGACAGTTTTCTAATGAAATGGCCGCCGCGGTCACCAGACCTGTCCTCGTATGATTTCTTTTTATGGGGATATGTGAAGGGACTTGTCTATGTCCAACTCTCTTCCTGCTAGCATTGATAAACTCAAACAAAGAATCACTTCCGCGCTCGATATTGTTACCGTAGACATGCTACAGCGTGTTTGACAAGAGCTTATCTACCGACTTGACGTGTGTCGTGTCACAGGCGGTCCACATATTGGACACTTATAAAATCGGTCCCAGAATAAACTTATGATGTTCAGCACTTAAACTGTTCAATTTCAGCGAGCTAGACTTAGTAATTTTCAAGATAAATGATGTCAAATTTTGAGGGATAGTTTGAACAAAGGGAACACACTCAAACACTGATTGTGTTAATACAACCATCAACAGATGTTCCGTCTGTTCAATTTCTCTCAAAAGGCTTTGATTAACCCGTGGGTATGATTTTCAGGTACTTTCAAAATGTTTCAACGCCTAAGTGGATGTTCGAGTTTTTGTTCATTATTCCATAAGAAATATTTCTGTTGAAACATCTTCGTTGGGTTTCTTTAAATCTTTGGATCAAACACTTTTCTTAAAATCTGGTGTAAGTATTTTCAAACTCTGCCAAATGGGTCCTGTAGCAATTCCAAACGCTAACATTTTGATCGGTGTATTCTCCGGTTATCAACGGGTGAAATTCAAACTTGTAACTTTAATCTGTGGCACTATCGAAGGTTTAGGGGGGAAAAAAATCTTTAATTTTTCAGAATATTTTTACTCGCCGATTGTCAAGTACCTATTTAGTGGCGGAGAAGGCTTTGCGATTTAACTTGAGTTAAAATTAAAAAAAAAATAAAAAAAATCAATCACTGAAGTCCCATTGGAAAAGATGCCTTCCAAAAGCTAAGCAAAATTTTAAAAACAGGAAAATTTCACTGGAAACAAAGAAAACAGTGCTGAACTGCTAATATCAACACGGCAGTGAATAATAGATATGTTGATTGATTGGTTCATTTTTTTACGGCTTGACAACCAGTTTCAAGATATTTAAAGCCAGAAAGTTATTTTTGAAAATTGTAAAATTTTGCGGGGAGATAATAAAGATTTAGGGTTACACGTATTACTAATTAACCCATAGGTGGGGGAGGAGAGGTGGATTCATTCCTTTCTCGAGGGTATTTGCGCGTAAGTGAATAACGAACCCAACTGAAATTGAAACTTGGCTCTTTGATTAACAATTCCGAGCCATTATCCATTGCACCGTCCGCACATCCAAGCTGATAGCACCTGGTATTCCCAAGCAGTCAGAATGATGGACAATTTTCTCACAGAGGCAAAAAGGATGTGGTTCTACAGAAGGATGCTGAGGATACCATGGACTGAACAACAAGGAAGTTTTAAGGGAAATAAAATCCATACGGAAATTTGTGTGACGCATAATAAGGAAAATCGCTCTGGAAAATTTGACACACACAGGACAAAGAGGGTTATAGGAAAACATCATGTAACCTACTTCCTAACTTGGAAAAACGGGTGGCAGAGCAAGAAGTGGTAGGGGTAATGAAAAGATAAGCAGTGTTAATTGCTACAAGCGATAAGATGTTGTGGAGAGCCATGTGCGCCTTTGTCCTGAAGAGAAACGGTAAATCGAAAAAGAATCCGTGAGAAAGAAGTCGTTATTAAATCTGTTAGATAGGATCGTGAACCGTTGAATAAGAATTATTCTAACCAGAAAACAAAAATGAATACACTCAGATGCGGGTCGATACACGCAGGTGTTCATATATAAGTATATAGGTATTTGACAGGAGGTACTGTTGGAAGCAGAAAGACAGGGCCAAATATCTATTTCGGATCGACTAAGATGCACTCCAAACAAAGACACAGGAATTCAAAGATAAATGTCA